TTCAAAGACATACTTCCTTTGATAATTGAGCCTATCGTAAATATAATAAACGCATCCATACAATGTGGCTATGTCCCACAAGCTTTTAAAACCGCGGTAATCAAACCCCTTCTGAAGAAAACAAACCTGGACCCAGAAATACTTACAAACTACAGACCGATCTCAAACCTCACTTTTATATCTAAAATCCTGGAAAAACTTATAGCTGAGCAGCTCCGCTGCCACCTGCAGGAAAATGATATGTTTGAAGTCTTTCAATCAGGATTCAGAGCTCATCATAGCACTGAAACGGCACTAGTCAAAGTCACAAATGACTTACTACTAGCTGCCGATAATGGACAAGTGTCAGTGCTGGTCCTACTGGACCTTAGTGCTGCATTTGACACAATAGACCACAGCATTCTACTGCAGAGGCTAGAATGTGATATAGGTCTTAGAGGAACAGCCCTTGGCTGGTTTAAATCCTATTTATCAGATCGATATCACTTCGTCAATGTGAATCAGGACTCGTCGCCTTATTCTGGAGTGGAATTCGGTGTGCCGCAGGGTTCGGTACTCGGACCGATTCTTTTTACTCTCTACATGCTGCCACTGGGAAACATTATTAAAAAGCATGGAATTAATTTCCACTGCTATGCAGATGACACACAGCTTTATCTGTCGATAAAGCCAAATCAGACAGATCAGCTAGAAAAGCTCAGTGCCTGCATAAAGGACCTTAAAATGTGGATGACTCTTAACTTCCTACTTCTCAACCCGGAGAAGACAGAAGTGATCCTACTCGGTCCGAAGCGCCCGCGTGACTCCCTCACTAACCAGATGGTTACTCTCGATAATGTCAGTATAATACCCAGTAACACTGTGAGGAATCTTGGAGTCATTTTTGACCAAGAACTCTCCTTCAAGGCTTATATAAGCCAAGCAACTAAAACGGCGTACTTCCACTTACGGAACATCGCTAAAATTAGGAATATCCTTCCTAAAAGTGACGCGGAAAAACTCATTCACGCGTTTGTCACCTCAAGGCTCGACTACTGTAACGCTTTACTGGCAGCGTGCCCTAAAGCCTCTTTGAAGAGCTTCCAGCTCGTTCAGAATACAGCAGCTAGGATCTTTACAGGTACCAAAAGGAGGGAGCACATAACTCCGGTGTTAAAATCACTCCACTGGCTCCCTGTGGAGTACAGAATAAAGTTTAAAATCCTACTCTTAACATATAAAGCCATAAATGGCTTGGCTCCCTCTTATCTCCAAGACACGTTAGTGTCGTATCAACCAGGTCGAGCGTTGCGCTCACAAAACGCCAGACGTCTGGTGGTCCCTAAGGTCTCAAAGGTCACTGTTGGTGGCAGAGCATTTAGCTACCAAGCTCCTTTACTGTGGAATCAGCTTCCCATTTATGTTAAGGAAGCAGATACGGTCTCCACATTCAAGGCAAGGCTTAAAGCACTTTACTTTAATTTAGCATATAATTAGGTAATATATAATATGTAGTGTATATATTATATATATATATGCTGTATTATGTTATATATTATGTTATATATTATTCAATAATGTATTGTGTTATGTTGTATATTATGTTATATATTATGCTGTATGTTATTCTTTATTCAAGGCTAGGTTTAAAACAGTCCTCTTTAGTTTAGCATATGGCTAGGAAGGTAAGACTCGGAGAAGGTTAAACTCCTCAGAGTGTTAGTCAAGCTGCATAGGGAGTCAGTTTGCTGGGAGAAGTATGGTAACTTGAGCACTATCCTCTCCTCCTTCCTACTTTATCTGTTTAGCATTTTTAGGATTCTGACTGTAGTTTGTTCATTGCTATTCACCCGTTGTCCCATTGTCTGTTTCATGGTACGATGACAGGATCTCTGAGCCTGGCCTCTTCCATCTACACCTGCGGACTGCCCCGCCCGACCCGCCTGGGAGTGCTTCAGTCCTGCACCGGACCTGTCCACGTTCAGCGGCCACTGGTCCACGTTCTGTAGCTAGCTTAGGTCCTAGATCATTAGCCTGTCCGTCCGGAGGAGCGGATCCCTTTCTCAAATGGGTCTCCCTCCCTGTGGGTTTCCCTAGTTCTCCTCCAAGGTTTCTCACTTTTTCCCACTGGGTTTTTTAAGAGTTTTTCCTTGTCGATGCAGGAGGGTCTTGTTGGACAGTTAGTGTCCAACAGAAAGGATTGGTGATGATCAGGACACTTTAGCATTCTACAACATGTATGGAAATTTTCTTCTGTGTGTGCTTTATATTCTTCATGTGTTTTAACTGTTGATTCTCTGACCTGTGTTGGTGATTTCAATGGTTTTGTTAAGTCCTCTGAGATGACTTCTGTTGTGACCTAGGGCTAAACAAGAATAAATTGTATTGTATTGTATTGTATTGTATTAAGGGGAAGAAAATGGATGGATGGATTCATACATTTGCACTTGAGACTAAGAAGCAGCTCACGGCTCTAAACGTCAGGTGAAAGCAGTGAGTTTGAAGCTAATATGAAGCGATGCGTACGAAGTATTGACACAGTCTTTAGTAACAGACCTCTCCTGATTTGAGCTCGACGTTCTTGAGGCCGAACCAGACCTGAACCTTCAGCGAGAGAGAAGGAAACACGAGGCGGACATTTTAACGCAGACCCAGGAGACAACATGAAATACAAGCTGCACCTCGTCCCGCGGAGCCACAGAGTCCAGCCCATTGAAAGATGTGGTATTTCTCACAGACGTAGGACTCTCAGCTAAATGGTCAACTTAGTTTTTTCCTGTTTGATTCTCTGATCTGCTGTTGGTGAATCCAGAACATTGTAAAGTCCTTCGAGGCGACTGCTGTTCTGATTTCGGGCGGTGCACATATACATTGAATTGAATTTACTTTCAATACCATTAGTTGGACATTTTTTGTATCCTGGCCCTTATTGTCAAGTTTTTGTATCCTAGACTCATTGGCCTGGACCACCCTGCTTCACCGGGAGAATCTTCAGTCCTGGAACTACAGCCTCAGTCCTGGGTCTACAGCCTCAGTCCTGGGTCTACAGTCTCAGTCTTGGATCTACAGCCTCAGTCCTGGGTCTGCAACCTCAGTCCGGGATCTACAGCCTCAGTCCTTGATCTTCAGCCTCAGTCCTGGGTCTGCAGCCTCAGTCCTGGATCTACAGCCTCAGTCCTTGATCGTCAGCCTCAGTCCTGGGTCTACAGCCTCAGTCTTGGATCTACAGCCTCAGTCCTGGGTCTGCAACCTCAGTCCGGGATCTACAGCCTCAGTCCTTGATCTACAGCCTCAGTCCTGGGTCTACAGCCTCAGTCCTGGATCTACAACCTCAGTCCTGGATTTCTGACTGGTTCCTCTCTGATCCAGGAGGGTCTAAGGACAGTGATGATTCGGGACATTTATTAAAGTTTCTGGGCAGTCCTCGGCGAATCCACAACTTTGCAAAGACAAGACTTGGTTTAGATCAATTAAAAAATGCTTTACATGGAATTGTTCGCAGGAAAGATCCAACTAAAGTTTGGTTCTATTTGGATGTACTGGATTATAATTGGAGCTTTTAATGAATTATATTAAATTGGTCGTAAAGGTCCGACGTGTTCATGTTTTGGAAAAGTAAAAGACTTTTTGAACACTTTTGGAACAAGTCAAACATAAGTCTCTCTGCACTTGTTCACACTGGCAGGATGCTGTATCAGTCACATCTCCAAATGTGTTTGGGTTCAGGAGGAGGAAGAGAGAGGGAGGAGGGAGGGAGGAGGAGGAGGTCCAGGGTAAAAACTGCCAAACATGAAATATGTTCCGATGAAAAGTAGATACAGGTTTTAAAAATAGTCTGGAACAGAATATCTTTCCAAACACGACGCAAACACGGACAGGAAACAAAAACATTCTGGAGTCATGTAATTATAGTATTTGCTTCTTTGTTCTTTAAGTTAAAGAAGTCGATGTCTGGAATACGTTTATAACTTTGATTCTTGTCTTTTGCTAATTAGCTTTCGAATAAAATTAATAATAATAATGATAATGCATCCGTTTAATACAGCGCTTTTTTCAGGACACTCAAAACATTTGACATGTCATGATTCTTTCACCCTAAACACAGAGGTGACAAACAACCACTGAAGCCACAGCTGCCCTGGGGCACACTGACAGAAGCGAGGCAACCAGTCTGTGCCGCCCCTCTCACCACCACCACCAATCATTCACACACACACACACCAGACTCATTCTAATGTCGGTGAAGTGTCTTGCCTAAGGACACAGTCGCAGTTTGGCACTTTACAGCCGCCCCACTGTGGCACCTGATGTTCCCAGAGGTCTCCCATCACAGTACTAACCAGTCCTTGCTCTGCTTAGCTTCAGAGGTCTTTCACAAGCAGGTGGTGAAGAAAGAAGGAATGGAAACTTCACACTGCTGCTGCATATGCATTTTGTTCAAGCAGCAACCCTCCTCCTCCCCATGTCCGCCTCATCAGCTCGACCCAGGTTTTATATCAATTCAATTAAAATAAAAGTTCTTTGCATCGCAACAGTAGTTATCGCGGATAACTCTACAAAGTTGTCAATTCGTCGACACAGATCAGAGAATCAACATAGAGACCAATGTCCATAAATGTTGTTAAATGTATGGATTATCAGTCGTACACCGTACGACTGTGGAGACCCATAAATCCATTTCTAATAACAGTTTTTGTCAGTTTGAGTCTCTCCAGATTGAAACACATTAACATCAGCGGTTCACTAATGCACAGTGACAGGCTAAATCCAAATTACTTCCCGAAATTATCAAAATATGAAATAAATATTGGAAGCACGGTCTGGACCCAATGATTGTCTTTGTTTGGAACTAAAACAAAACCAAATCGTTGCTGGATTCTCGGAACACTCATTTCCCCAGACATTTTTCTATAATTATATTTGAAGCAGGTATGAAAGAGAGACAGAGGGGGAGAGGGGGAGAGGGGGAGATAAAGGGGGAGGGAGGGTTGAATTCTGGCGAGTCCCAAACACTGAAGCAATTAGAAGCAATTAAAACAACTGTTCGGAAATCCACTGGACTCCTGCAGAGAGAGAAACATGGGCAAGAATGTGGAGGAGAGAGGGGGAGGAGAGGGAGAGAGGGGGGGGGGAGAGGGAGGAGAGAGGGAGACAGAGGGGGAGAGAGGGGGAGAGAGGGAGGACAGAGGGGGAGAGAGGGTGGACAGAGGGGGAGGGAGGGAGGAGAGGGGAGACAGGGAGGCAGGGGGGAGAGAAGGAGACAGGGAGAGTGAGGGAGGACAGAGGAAGAGAGAGGGAGACAGAGGGAGAGAGAGGGGGAGAGGGAGAACAGAGGAGGAGAGAGGGAGGAGAGGGAGACAGACGGGGAGAGAGGGAGAAGAGGGAGACTGAGGGGAAGAGGGGGAGAGAGGGAGGAGAGGGATACAGAGGGGGAGAGAGGTAGAAGAGGGAGGACTGAGGGGGAGAGGGGAGACAGAGGGAGGAGAGGGATACAGAGGGGGAGAGAGGTAGAAGAGGGAGACAGAGGGGGAGATAGGGAGGAGTGGGGGAGAGAGGGAGGCAGGGGGAGACATATGGAGGACATTGTGGGAATGGGGGGAGCAGAGGGTGCAGCAGAGAGAGGACAAAGACAGGACCATGGCGTCCAGTGTCAGTGCTGTGTTTACGCTGATGTACGACCGTGCGGATATTCACACATGTTTCAGCAGCAGGTTCGTCCGGTGGGTACGGCGACTGATGAACATGAACATTGTTGAACTTGTTTCCTGGACGCATGTGTGGCAACCAATGGCTGTGTCCAAAACGCTAGGCATCAGGCGACGTAGGGTGGATATGTAGGCATCGTGACGTCACTTCCTCACGCGACGGCTATTGCAGGGGTGTCCAAAACAACTTGGCGAGCTCGCCAAGCGTAGGCATCATGACTTCGTCTCTATGGAAACGGCCACTTTTGGAGCAGATATGAAGGATGCATCTGATGTATGCTTCGCTGCCTTCTTTTTGCCAAGTCACGGCCGCGCATGCGCAGAACTCCGTTCGGCATTAACATGTAAACAACAGCTCGTAAGCAAACGTAAGCACTTTACTGTGAAGTTATGTCTATAGTAAGTACTGCTATACTTTACTGTGAAGTTATGTCTATAGTAAGTACTGCTATACTTTACTGTGAAGTTATGTCTATAGTAAGTACTGCTATACTTTACTGTTGAGTTATGAACACGACTGTTATGATAAAACACAGACATAAATTAGATCTGCCACAGATGTGTGTATTTATTATTATTATTTATTTTTGTGGGCGGCACGGTGGCTGAGTGGATAGCACTCTCGCCTCTCAGCAAGAAGGTCCTTGGTTCGAATCCCGGCCGGACAAGGGCCTTTCTGAGTGGAGTTTGCATGTTCTCCCCGTGTCTGCGTAGGTTTCCTCCGGGTACTCCGGTTTCCCCTACCACTAAAAAATATGTACAATAGGTCTGGCATGCGCCTCCTGTTCGGCGACCCCGCTCCATCTCTGTGTGGAGTGAGAGACAAGTGCCCAAAAATAACCATTGTAAACCGCTTTGTGACTCTGGTCTGTGAAAGGCAGTATATAAATAAAGATTACTTACTTACTTACTTACTTTATTCTTGTTATCTGCTGTAAATAATAATTATTATTAATAATTCAATAATTCATTCAGATTCGGTTTTTGAACAAGAAAAATCATGTTGTGTTTTATCTTTTAGGGAGAAACAAACCCACTGATTAAATATTAAAGCTACACTGAAGAAATAGTCAAGTTTTCATGGAAAATCACTCTGCAGCACAGCAGCTATAGTATGCTAACACATGTTTTCTGTATTCATATAAAATAGATTGTGCATATCGTTTTTAATCCCATACTGAGACTGGGAAAACTGTATATATTAGACATATGAAATTATAGAATAGGCCAAGAATAATTATAAAGCCCTTTTCATACAATAGTCTAATAAATAGTAAACACACATTATACAGAGGTTTCGTTTGTCATTAATAAGACATTTGCAGAGGACAAAGTCCCACTTCCACAAACACAGGTTTAAAGTGGTTAGCCATGCTTCTAACTTGATTATGTGTGTATATTTCTATCATATTATTCTTCTGTTTCCCCTGCTGTGAAGCTTGTATCTCTAATATTACATACTGTAAGGATTTCTGTATTTTATTTTTAACCAGTTTTTTGCAAAGCCCCAAATAAATAGTATTAGTTGAATATGAAGTGTAAAAAGAATCCTAAATGTGGGCTGTGTTTTAATGCATGATGTTTGTGTTCTTCTTTTTCAGAGACTTGTGGTGAAATTAAGGTCATCATTTCTCCTGCTTCACCTCCTGCTTCACCTCCATCACCTCCATCACCTCCATCACCTCCTGCTTCACCTGCTTCACCTCCATCACCTCCTGCTTCACTGCTGAAAACATTATGAACTACAACAAACCTGTATATAATATTTTCCTTTAATCACCAGTCATGAATAGTTAGAACAGTGGGCTCTGCATCTCTGAAGACATGTAGCAGAAGGAGCAGCAGCAGAAGGAGCAACAGGAGGAGCAACAGCAGCAGCAGAAGGAGCAACAGGAGGAGCAACAGCAGCAGCAGAGGGAGCAACAGGAGGAGTAACAGCAGCAGCAGAGGGAGCAACAGGAGGAGCAACAGCAGCAGCAGAGGGAGCAACAGGAGGAGCAACAGCAGCAGCAGAGGGAGCAACAGGAGGAGTAACAGCAGCAGCAGAAGGAGCAACAGGAGGAGTAACAGCAGCAGCAGAAGGAGCAACAGGAGGAGTAACAGCAGCAGCAGAAGGAGCAACAGGAGGAGTAACAGCAGCAGCAGAAGGAGTAACAGGAGGAGTAACAACAGCAGCAGCAGGAGCAACAGCAGCAGGAGCAGCAGCAGCAGGAGTAACAGGAGGAGTAACAGCAGTAACAGCAGCAGCAGGAGCAGCAGCAGAGTCCTGGGCGTCTGCCTCTGACACAGGTCTCATCGACAGCACTTAAGAGAACCTGGAAATAAAGAAAACTAAAATCAAACTTGTTGGTTTTATTATGATTTTGTTGTTTGTGTGAAATGTAAAGAGTCATCAAAGTGAGGTATTATTTACACAACTACATATTTGTCAGCAGTACTTATACTTATACTTATAATTGAATACATTAAACTCAAATGTGATTAGTAACGATCTGTTTGCTTTTCAAGAGATATAAAAGTGAATAAGAGCAGTGTCAAACATCTGTGTTCAACTTCATTTTACAGATGTCTGTTAATGTTTCCATGGATGTGTCAGTTATTATTATAGATCCATGGATGTGTCAGTTATTATTATAGATAAATGGATGTTCCAGTTATTATTATAGATAAATGGATGTGTCAGTTATTATTATAGATCCATGGATGTGTCAGTTATTATTATAGATCCATGGATGTGTCAGTTATTATTATAGATAAATGGATGTGTCAGTTATTATTATAGATCCATGGATGTGTCAGTTATTATTATAGATAAATGGATGTGTCAGTTATTATTATAGATCCATGGATGTGTCAGTTATTATTATAGATAAATGGATGTGTCAGTTATTATTATAGATCCATGGATGTGTCAGTTATTATTATAGATAAATGGATGTGTCAGTTATTATTATAGATAAATGGATGTGTCAGTTATTATTATAGATAAATGGATGTGTCAGTTATTATTATAGATAAATGGATGTGTCAGTTATTATTATAGATAAATGGATGTTCCAGTTATTATTATAGATAAATGGATGTGTCAGTTATTATTATAGATCCATGGATGTGTCAGTTATTATTATAGATCCATGGATGTGTCAGTTATTATTATAGATAAATGGATGTGTCAGTTATTATTATAGATAAATGGATGTGTCAGTTATTATTATAGATAAATGGATGTGTCAGTTATTATTATAGATCCATGGATGTGTCAGTTATTATTATTATAGATAAATGGATGTGTCAGTTATTATTATAGATAAATGGATGTTCCAGTTATTATTATAGATCAGTGGTTCCCAAAGTGGGGTCCGCGGCCCCCTGGTGGGCCGCGAGTTATGCAGGGATCCGTGGATGGTCATTAAATAATTAAATAGATATCATTATTAATGTTAATTTATAGTTATGTTTGTATATTCAAATGATTGTGTCAGTTATTGATTATAGATCCATGTAATGTCAGTTTTGTATTACAATGTATGTAGCAGAGGTATTTCCCAATATAAATACCAGAAGAGCTATCTTAATGTTGTCTCTGGTTATTATTATAGGGCCATGCAGATCCGTCAGATTTTTAAGGTGCCTCGGATGTTCGAGTTTGGATGGTGTTATAGATAAATGGATGTGTCAGTTATTATTATAGATAAATGGATGTTCCAGTTATTATTATAGATCAATGGATGTGTCAGTTATTATTATAGATAAATGGATGTGTCAGTTATTATTATAGATAAATGGATGTTTCTCTCTCATCAGCAAACACACGTTAATACATTTAGGTCTGATAAAATTACTTTTAAGTGATGCACAAACGAGGGCCATAGCAAATATATAATCCATATCTAATAATCATTTATTGCATATATGTGCATTGTTTACATAAAATATAACTTTGTAAAAACTAATGATTACTGCCAATACAATTGTTATACAGTAACAGAGAAAGTGTAACAACAAAAGCATCCTCTGTTTTTTCAGAATACGATTGTAAACATCCAGGGGGCTCTCATTACCTGAACCCGTGTTTAGGACAGCCTGTTCTGGGCTTCAGCACTGCAGCTAACTGGGCTGTTAGCTTATAGCACCGGAGCTTCAGGCTGGAGGTAAAGTCCGAACATTTTCGAATTTATCTCCAAACAGACTCCTGATATGACAATAAAGGGGGATATTTCTCGCCTCAAATGATATTAGAATTAACTTTTATGTCCTAATTAAAGCGTATTTAGAACTTTTTACCGTCCATCATGGCCGCCGTGTCCTTCCGCTCCGCTCGGAGTTGTGTAGTCACGTGACAAAGGCAGAAGGCAGCTGCTGTCCAAATCCACATCACGTCTCGCCTCCTACCTCGCCTGTGGCTACGCGGCCTTCCCTCGATGCCTACATATCCACCCTACGCGGCCCGATGCCTACCGTTTTGGACACAGCCAATGACAGAGCAGCAAAGTAGTCACGGGGACACAAGCTGAGCCAAACCGGGACTAAACCAGAATAAAACCAGACAATGAGGGACACACAGTGCTTGTGAACACATGTCTTCACCCTGAGTTCTCATTCTCCCCTGACTGAAAACAAGTGCTGCTAATTTGTTAGCCGATACAGAAGTACCGGTTGACAACATAATTGATATTATTTATCTATTGAGTTGGGACAATGCACATTTGTCAACATTGATGCCTTTAGCGTCAGTGTAAATGTGCCGGACTTAGCAAAACGGCTAAATTTCAGCCGTTTAGTCCCAAGGCTGGATCCAAGAAAACAGACACCAAAGAAATTAAAATCTTGCACAACAGATCACACATAAATGAATACAAAACAGACACAGACGGAAAATATGAAGGTGAAGCAGCCACAGACGGTTTTAACCCAAAGAGACCAAAAGTGAATCA